AGTAACTAGTTACACTGCTAGTTACTTTAGAGAAAGGTAAATCCCTCACTGTAACTGAGTTACTCCTGTTGAAAGTAACTAGTTACACTGCTAGTTACTTTAGAGAAAGGTAATCCCTCACTGTACTACTGAGTTACTCCTGCTGAAAGTAACTAGTTACACTGCTAGTTACTTTAGAGAAAGGTAATCCCTCACTGTACTGAGTTACTCCTGCTGAAAGTAACTAGTTACACTGCTAGTTACTTTAGAGAAAGGTAATCCCTCACTGTACTACTGAGTTACTCCTGTTGAAAGTAACTAGTTACACTGCTAGTTACTTTAGAGAAAGGTAATCCCTCACTGTACTGAGTTACTCCTGCTGAAAGTAACTAGTTACACTGCTAGTTACTTTAGAGAAAGGTAATCCCTCACTGTACTGAGTTACTCCTGTTGAAAGTAACTAGTTACACTGCTAGTTACTTTAGAGAAAGGTAATCCCTCACTGTACTGAGTACTCCTGTTGAAAGTAACTAGTTACACTGCTAGTTACTTTAGAGAAAGGTAATCCCTCACTGTACTACTGAGTTACTCCTGCTGAAAGTAACTAGTTACACTGCTAGTTACTTTAGAGAAAGGTAATCCCTCACTGTACTGAGTTACTCCTGTTGAAAGTAACTAGTTACACTGCTAGTTACTTTAGAGAAAGGTAATCCCTCACTGTACTGAGTTACTCCTGCTGAAAGTAACTAGTTACACTGCTAGTTACTTTAGAGAAAGGTAATCCCTCACTGTACTGAGTTACTCCTGCTTGAAAGTAACTAGTTACACTGCTAGTTACTTTAGAGAAAGGTAATCCCTCACTGTACTGAGTTACTCCTGCTGAAAGTAACTAGTTACACTGCTAGTTACTTTAGAGAAAGGTAATCCCTCACTGTACTGAGTTACTCCTGTTGAAAGTAACTAGTTACACTGCTAGTTACTTTAGAGAAAGGTAATCCCTCACTGTACTACTGAGTTACTCCTGTTGAAAGTAACTCGTTACACTGCTAGTTACTTTAGAGAAAGGTAATCCCTCACTGTACTACTGAGTTACTCCTGCTGAAAGTAACTAGTTACACTGCTAGTTACTTTAGAGAAAGGTAATCCCTCACTGTACTACTGAGTTACTCCTGTTGAAAGTAACTAGTTACACTGCTAGTTACTTTAGAGAAAGGTAATCCCTCACTGTACTGAGTTACTCCTGCTGAAAGTAACTCGTTACACTGCTAGTTACTTTAGAGAAAGGTAATCCCTCACTGTACTACTGAGTTACTCCTGCTGAAAGTAACTAGTTACACTGCTAGTTACTTTAGAGAAAGGTAATCCCTCACTGTACTACTGAGTTACTCCTGTTGAAAGTAACTCGTTACACTGCTAGTTACTTTAGAGAAAGGTAATCCCTCACTGTACTACTGAGTTACTCCTGCTGAAAGTAACTAGTTACACTGCTAGTTACTTTAGAGAAAGGTAATCCCTCACTGTACTACTGAGTTACTCCTGCTGAAAGTAACTAGTTACACTGCTAGTTACTTTAGAGAAAGGTAATCCCTCACTGTACTGAGTTACTCCTGTTGAAAGTAACTAGTTACACTGCTAGTTACTTGAGAAAGGTAATCCCTCACTGTATTACTGAGTTACTCCTGTTGAAAGTAACTCGTTACACTGCTAGTTACTTTAGAGAAAGGTAATCCCTCACTGTACTACTGAGTTACTCCTGCTGAAAGTAACTCGTTACACTGCTAGTTACTTTAGAGAAAGGTAATCCCTCACGGTACTACTGAGTTACTCCTGCTGAAAGTAACTAGTTACACTGCTAGTTACTTTAGAGAAAGGTAATCCCTCACTGTACTGAGTTACTCCTGTTGAAAGTAACTAGTTACACTGCTAGTTACTTTAGAGAAAGGTAATCCCTCACTGTACTACTGAGTTACTCCTGTTGAAAGTAACTAGTTACACTGCTAGTTACTTTAGAGAAAGGTAATCCCTCACTGTACTACTGAGTTACTCCTGTTGAAAGTAAGTAGTTACACTGCTAGTTACTTTAGAGAAAGGTAATCCCTCACTGTACTACTGAGTTACTCCTGTTGAAAGTAACTAGTTACACTGCTAGTTACTTTAGAGAAAGGTAATCCCTCACTGTACTACTGAGTTACTCCTGCTGAAAGTAACTAGTTACACTGCTAGTTACTTTAGAGAAAGGTAATCCCTCACTGTACTGAGTTACTCCTGTTGAAAGTAACTCGTTACACTGCTAGTTACTTTAGAGAACGGTAATCCCTCACTGTACTGAGTTACTCCTGCTGAAAGTAACTAGTTACACTGCTAGTTACTTTAGAGAAAGGTAATCCCTCACTGTACTGAGTTACTCCTGCTGAAAGTAACTAGTTACACTGCTAGTTACTTTAGAGAACAGTAATCCCTCACTGTACTGAGTTACTCCTGCTGAAAGTAACTAGTTACACTGCTAGTTACTTTAGAGAAAGGTAATCCCTCACTGTACTACTGAGTTACTCCTGCTGAAAGTAACTAGTTACACTGCTAGTTACTTTAGAGAACAGTAATCCCTCACTGTACTGAGTTACTCCTGCTGAAAGTAACTCGTTACAGTGCTAGTTACTTTAGAGAAAGGTAATCCCTCACTGTACTGAGTTACTCCTGTTGAAAGTAACTAGTTACACTGCTAGTTACTTTAGAGAAAGGTAATCCCTCACTGTACTACTGAGTTACTCCTGTTGAAAGTAACTAGTTACACTGCTAGTTACTTTAGAGAACAGTAATCCCTCACTGTACTGAGTTACTCCTGCTGAAAGTAACTCGTTACAGTGCTAGTTACTTTAGAGAAAGGTAATCCCTCACTGTACTACTGAGTTACTCCTGTTGAAAGTAACTAGTTACACTGCTAGTTACTTTAGAGAAAGGTAATCCCTCACTGTACTGAGTTACTCCTGTTGAAAGTAACTCGTTACACTGCTAGTTACTTTAGAGAAAGGTAATCCCTCACTGTACTACTGAGTTACTCCTGTTGAAAGTAACTAGTTACACTGCTAGTTACTTTAGAGAAAGGTAATCCCTCACTGTACTGAGTTACTCCTGTTGAAAGTAACTCGTTACACTGCTAGTTACTTTAGAGAAAGGTAATCCCTCACTGTACTACTGAGTTACTCCTGTTGAAAGTAACTAGTTACACTGCTAGTTACTTTAGAGAAAGGTAATCCCTCACTGTACTGAGTTACTCCTGTTGAAAGTAACTAGTTACACTGCTAGTTACTTTAGAGAAAGGTAATCCCTCACTGTACTGAGTTACTCCTGTTGAAAGTAACTAGTTACACTGCTAGTTACTTTAGAGAAAGGTAATCCCTCACTGTACTACTGAGTTACTCCTGTTGAAAGTAACTAGTTACACTGCTAGTTACTTTAGAGAAAGGTAATCCCTCACTGTACTACTGAGTTACTCCTGCTGAAAGTAACTAGTTACACTGCTAGTTACTTTAGAGAAAGGTAATCCCTCACTGTACTGAGTTACTCCTGCTGAAAGTAACTAGTTACACTGCTAGTTACTTTAGAGAAAGGTAATCCCTCACTGTACTGAGTTACTCCTGCTGAAAGTAACTAGTTACACTGCTAGTTACTTTAGAGAAAGGTAATCCCTCACTGTACTGAGTTACTCCTGTTGAAAGTAACTAGTTACACTGCTAGTTACTTTAGAGAAAGGTAATCCCTCACTGTACTGAGTAACTCCTGTTGAAAGTAACTAGTTACACTGCTAGTTACTTTAGAGAAAGGTAATCCCTCACTGTACTGAGTTACTCCTGCTGAAAGTAACTAGTTATACTGCTAGTTACTTTAGAGAAAGGTAATCCCTCACTGTACTGAGTTACTCCTGTTGAAAGTAACTAGTTACACTGCTAGTTACTTTAGAGAAAGGTAATCCCTCACTGTACTGAGTTACTCCTGCTGAAAGTAACTAGTTACACTGCTAGTTACTTTAGAGAAAGGTAATCCCTCACTGTACTGAGTTACTCCTGCTGAAAGTAACTAGTTACACTGCTAGTTACTTTAGAGAAAGGTAATCCCTCACTGTACTGAGTTACTCCTGCTGAAAGTAACTAGTTACACTGCTAGTTACTTTAGAGAAAGGTAATCCCTCACTGTACTGAGTTACTCCTGCTGAAAGTAACTCGTTACACTGCTAGTTACTTTAGAGAAAGGTAATCCCTCACTGTACTACTGAGTTACTCCTGCTGAAAGTAACTAGTTACACTGCTAGTTACTTTAGAGAAAGGTAATCCCTCACTGTACTGAGTTTCTCCTGCTGAAAGTAACTAGTTACACTGCTAGTTACTTTAGAGAAAGGTAATCCCTCACTGTACTGAGTTACTCCTGTTGAAAGTAACTAGTTACACTGCTAGTTACTTTAGAGAAAGGTAATCCCTCACTGTACTGAGTTACTCCTGCTGAAAGTAACTAGTTACACTGCTAGTTACTTTAGAGAAAGGTAATCCCTCACTGTACTGAGTTACTCCTGTTGAAAGTAAGTAGTTACACTGCTAGTTACTTTAGAGAAAGGTAATCCCTCACTGTACTGAGTTACTCCTGCTGAAAGTAACTAGTTACATTAGCGCAGTGAACTGATTTACTCAAACCGTATTTCTCATGAAGGATGTGAGGTCTGGAGGCATCCCGCTGAACAGGCTTTTATAGGACGGAGAAGATGAAGGGTCCAGGAAGGGAATGGAGCGCTACAGGGTTTCAGGGATTGGAGATCATTCAAGATGAAGGCTTTATTGTCGTACAGTGTATGGACATCTGAAAGCTCCTCCAATGCAACAGATCATAGGAAATGAGATAAACAACTGCAGGTGCAAAGGGCTTTATTTAATATCGTTTTTATTTGATTTTGAATGTGAGGAAATATCAATCGTGATGTGACTCCATCTCAGTAGGGGGCAGCATGCACCCTACCCCTACCAATAGAAGAAGAAGAAGAAGTCATAAATCAGTAGAAGACGAAGGAAAAGGAGAAGGAGAAGTGTTCTGGAGCTGTTTGAGGAAAGGGACCAGAACCAGGCCAGAACCAGGCCAGAACCAGGACCAGGACCAGAACCAGGAGTACCACACACCCAGAGCTGTCTAACCCTCACCCTGTTTGTAGAGCTGCTGCTAACGGCTAGCTGCTGTCAGGAGGATCAGCTGTTTCTCCTTCAGACTCAGACAGGTGAGTCTCTCAGGTACACTCAGAAAGTGTGTAACTGTGTGAGACACTGTAACACACTGCTACACACTGTAACACACTGCTACACATTGTTACACACTGCTACACACTGCTACACACTGTTACACACTGCTACACACTGACAGACTACTCCCTCACTCTGTCTGCTGATGCTAACAGCTAACGGGCTGAACCGGGCGGTGTCCGCTGTTAGCATCAGGAGCTAACAGGCTGAACGGGGCGGTGTCCGCTGTTAGCATCAGGAGCTAACAGGCTAATGACAACAACACTGAGGAAAATAAACACAGCAGTAAAGTAACGAAGTAAAGTAACGAAGTAAGACAATACTAAAGTACATGTAAAGCACATTTAGTACATACATATATTACGTTTTATTGACTATATCTAAGTTATTTAACTCTATTTGTTTAAAAAGGATAGCAGTGGTTTCTTGAACATAATAATCACTATATTATTTTTACATTTTTATTCCCATTTAAACGTTTTTGAGACGTTAAACTTGAGAGTTTATTTCTGTCGCTGGCCTCCTTATAACAACAACAACAACAACAATAATATTTCAGCTCATTTAATAATTTAACTGATCACGTAATTCAATTTGATTAATGACACTACAAATATATATATATATATATATATATATATATATATATATATATATATATATATATATATATATATATATATATAGAGAGATAAGATAAGAAGTACTTTATTGATCCCAATGTGGGAAATGTTTGCGTTGCAGCACAAAAAGCACTGTACAAATTAAAATAAATAAACAAGAAAGTAGCAAATATACATGTTAAATTAACAAGGTATTATGTACATACATATATGACAGATGGAATATTAAATATAGAACAGATGATATGAATGTAAAATGTGTGGTTTTATTCCAAGAGAAGCTATAGCTTCAGAGGGGGTCATTGCAGTGGGCAGGAACGACTTCCTGTATCGATGTGTGTGTATATATGTATATATGTATATATATATATATATATATATATATATATATATGTGTATATTGTGATGGTGGTGTGCGCTGCTCCCGCAGTAGAAGAAGATGACGAGTGGAGGACTGAACAGCATTGAGGCCGTGAAGAAGAAGATCAAAGTCCTGCAGGAGCAGGCAGAGGAGGCGGACGATCGAGCAGCTAAACTACAGAAAGAGGGGGAGAGAGAGAGGAGGAGCAGGGAGGAGGTACACACACACACACACACACACACACACACACACACACACACACACACACACACACACACCAGGGTTGCCCCTAGGATTTTTTCTTGCCGGTCAAATATCCGGAAATAATTAATTTTACCGGAGAAATGTGAAATGTACCGGTCATGTTTCAATATGAATTGTGTAGCAGAGTTTCCGTTAGCAGGTAATCACCGGACTCTGAGCGGAGACGCTGATGTTTAAAACTCAGTTAATGGGAGTCATTTTTATATTGCTTCAGTTTATAATCGAAAAGTTCAGATTCATTTTTCAATAAATGATTCAACAAACAACATAATTATTACATTCAAACAAACTACTTGTAGATGAAGGTGTGTGTGTGTGTGTGTGTGTGTGTGTGTGTGTGTGTGTGTGTGTGTGTGTGTGTGTGTGTGTGTGTGTGTGTGTGTGTGTGTGTGTGTGTGTGTGTGTGTGTGTGTGTGTGTGTGTGTGTGTGTGTGTGTGTGTGTGTGTGTGTGTGTGTGTGTGTGTGTGTGTGTGTGTGTGTGTGTGTGTGTGTGTGTGTGTGTGTGTGTGTGTGTGTGTGTGTGTGTGTGTGTGTGTGTGTGTGTGTGTGTGTGTGTGTGTGTGTGGTGTGTGTGTGTGTGTGTGTGTGTGTGTGTGTGTGTGTGTGGTGTGGTGTGTGTGTGTTGTGTGTGTGTGTGTGTGTTTGTGTGTGTGTGTGTGTGTGTGTGTGTGTGTGTGTGTGTAGCTCCAGGAGGAGGTGTCCTCCCTCAGCAGGAAGCTGGCTCTGGGAGAGGAGGACCTGGAGAGAGTTCAGGAGAGACTGGAGACGACTCTGAGGAAACTGGAGGAGACGGAGAAGACCGCTGACGAGAGCGAGAGGTGAGACACCTATCTGTCTCTCTGTACCTGTCTGTCTCTCTGTACCTGTCTGTCTCTCTGTACCTGTCTGTCTCTCTGTACCTGTCTGTCTCTCTGTACCTGTCTCTCACCTGTCTCTCTCTCTGTACCTGTCTGTCTCTCACCTGTCTCTCTCTCTGTACCTGTCTGTCTCTCACCTGTCTCTCACCTGTCTCTCTGTACCTGTCTCTCACCTGTCTCTCTCTCTGTACCTGTCTGTCTCTCACCTGTCTCTCTGTACCTGTCTGTCTCTCTGTACCTGTCTCTCACCTGTCTCTCTGTACCTGTCTCTCACCTGTCTGTCCCTCACCTGTCTCTCTGTACCTGTCTCTCTGTACCTGTCTCTCTGTACCTGTCTCTCACCTGTCTCTCACCTGTCTCTCTGTACCTGTCTGTCTCTCACCTGTCTCTCACCTGTCTCTCTGTACCTGTCTCTCACCTGTCTGTCTCTCTGTACCTGTCTGTCTCTCACCTGTCTGTCCCTCACCTGTCTCTCTGTACCTGTCTCTCACCTGTCTCTCTCTCTGTACCTGTCTGTCTCTCACCTGTCTCTCAACTGTCTGTCTCTCACCTGTCTGTCTCTCTGTACCTGTCTCTCACCTGTCTCTCTCTCTGTCTCTCACCTGTCTCTCACCTGTCTCTCACCTGTCTCTCTGTACCTGTCTGTCTCTCACCTGTCTCTCACCTGTCTCTCTGTACCTGTCTCTCACCTGTCTCTCTCTCTGTACCTGTCTCTCACCTGTCTCTCTCTCTGTACCTGTCTGTCTCTCACCTGTCTGTCCCTCACCTGTCTCTCTGTACCTGTCTCTCACCTGTCTCTCTCTCTGTACCTGTCTGTCTCTCACCTGTCTCTCAACTGTCTGTCTCTCACCTGTCTGTCTCTCACCTGTCTCTCTGTACCTGTCTCTCACCTGTCTGTCTCTCACCTGTCTGTCCCTCACCTGTCTCTCTGTACCTGTCTCTCACCTGTCTCTCTCTCTGTACCTGTCTGTCTCTCACCTGTCTCTCAACTGTCTGTCTCTCACCTGTCTGTCTCTCACCTGTCTCTCTGTACCTGTCTGTCTCTCACCTGTCTCTCAACTGTCTGTCTCTCACCTGTCTGTCTCTCACCTGTCTCTCTGTACCTGTCTCTCACCTGTCTCTCTCTCTGTACCTGTCTGTCTCTCACCTGTCTCTCTCTCTGTACCTGTCTGTCTCTCACCTGTCTGTCCCTCACCTGTCTCTCTGTACCTGTCTCTCACCTGTCTCTCTGTACCTGTCTCTCACCTGTCTCTCTCTCTGTACCTGTCTGTCTCTCACCTGTCTCTCAACTGTCTGTCTCTCACCTGTCTGTCCCTCACCTGTCTCTCTGTACCTGTCTGTCTCTCACCTGTCTGTCCCTCACCTGTCTCTCAACTGTCTGTCTCTCACCTGTCTGTCCCTCACCTGTCTCTCTGTACCTGTCTGTCTCTCAACTGTCTGTCTCTCACCTGTCTGTCTCTCACCTGTCTCTCTGTACCTGTCTGTCTCTCACCTGTCTGTCCCTCACCTGTCTCTCTTCAGAGGGATGAAGGTGATAGAGAACCGGGCTTTGAAGGACGAGGAGAAGATGGAGTTTCTGGAGGTTCAGCTGAGAGAAGCTAAACAGATCGCTGAGGAGGCGGACCGCAAGTACGAGGAGGTACTAATACACACATACTAATACACACATATATATATATATATACAAGTACGAGGAGGTACTAATACACACATACTAATACACACATATATATATATATATACAAGTACGAGGAGGTACTAATACACACATACTAATACACACATATATATATATATATATATATATACAAGTACGAGGAGGTACTAATACACACATACTAATACACACATATATATATATATATATATATATATATATATAAGTACGAGGAAGTACTAATACACACATATATATATATATATATATATACAAGTACGAGGAAGTACTAATACACACATACTAATACACACATATATATATATATACAAGTACGAGGAAGTACTAATACACGCCAGAAATACAAGTACGAGGAGGTACTAATACACACATACTAATACACATCAGAAATACAAGTACCAGGAGGTACTAATACACACATACTAATACACACATATATATATATACAAGTACGAGGAGGTACTAATACACACATACTAATACACACATATATATATATATACAAGTACGAGGAGGTACTAATACACACATACTAATACACACATATATATATATATATATATATATATACAAGTACGAGGAGGTACTAATACACACATACTAATACACACATATATATATATATATATATATATATATATACAAGTACGAGGAAGTACTAATACACACATATATATATATATATACAAGTACGAGGAAGTACTAATACACACATACTAATACACACATATATATATATATATACAAGTACGAGGAAGTACTAATACACGCCAGAAATACAAGTACGAGGAGGTACTAATACACACATACTAATACACATCAGAAATACAAGTACCAGGAGGTACTAATACACACATACTAATACACACATATATATATATATATATATATATATACAAGTACGAGGAAGTACTAATACACACATACTAATACACATTACATGACATTGCATTTAGCTGAGGCTTTTATCCAGAGAGACACAATAAGTGCATTCGACCAGGAAGATACAAACTTGAAGAAAACAGAATCATATAAGTACATCAGGTTTCATAGAGCCAACACATTTCAAGTGCTGCTCAACTGGCTTTAGATAAGTCCTTTGTTAGTATATAAGTGCTTTGTTAGTATGTAAGTGCTTTGTTAGTATATAAGTGCTCTGTTAGTATATAAGTGCTTTGTTAGTATATAAGTGCTTTGTTAGTATATAAGTGCTTTGTTAGTATATAAGTGCTTTGTTAGTATATAAGTGCTTTGTTAGTATACAAGTGCTTTGTTAGTATACAAGTGCTCTGTTAGTATACAAGTGCTCTGTTAGTATATAAGTGCTCTGTTAGTATATAAGTGCTCTGTTAGTATATAAGTGCTCTGTTAGTATATAAGTGCTCTGTTAGTATATAAGTGCTCTGTTAGTATATAAGTGCTCTGTTAGTATATAAGTGCTCTGTTAGTATATAAGTGCTCTGTTAGTATATAAGTGCTCTGTTAGTATATAAGTGCTTTGTTAGTATATAAGTGCTCTGTTAGTATATAAGTGCTCTGTTAGTATATAAGTGCTTTGTTAGTATATAAGTGCTCTGTTAGTATAGAAGTGCTTTGTTAGTGATTCTATCGCTCGAAGTGGAGTGGAAAGAGATGAGTCTTCAGTCTGAAGAAGATGTGTGAGCTTTCTGCTGTCCTGATGTCAATGGGGAGCTCATTCCACCATGTTGGAGCCAGGATAGCAAACCCACGTGTTTTTGCTGATGGGAACTTGGGTCCCCCTCGCAGTGCGGGTGCAGCGAGCCGTTTGGCTGATGCAGAGCGGAGTGCACGTGCTGGGGTGTACAGTTTAACCATGTCCTGGATGTAGGAAGGGCCAGATCCATTCACAGCATGGTGCGCTAGTACCAGTGTCTTGAAGTGGATTCTAGCAGTTACTGGAAGCCAGTGAAGGGAGCGGAGGAGCGGCGTGGTGTGGGAACATTTAGGAAGGTTGAAGACCAGACGAGCCGCTGCATTCTGGATGAGCTGCAGAGGTGGGATGGCACATGCAGGTAGACCAGCCAGGAGGGAGCTGCAGTAGTCTAGGCGTGAGATGACGAGAGCCTGGACCAGAACCTGCTTTCTGGGTCAGGAGGGGACGTATCCTCCTGATGTTATAAAGAGTGTATCTGCAGCAGCGGGTTGTAGCAGCGATGTTTGCAGTGAAGGACAGGTTGTTATCTAGGGTCACACCCAGATTCCTTGCAGTCTGAGTCGGGGAAACAACAGAGGGGCCGATGTTGATTGTTAGATCAAGAGTGGGACAATCTTTTCCCTGAAGGAAAAACAGTTCAGTCTTGTCAAGGTTGAGCTTGAGGTGGTGAGCAGACATCCACTGAGAGATGTCTGCTAGACAAGCAGAGATGCGTGCCACGACCTGGGTCTCTGAGCGGGGAAAGGACAGAATGAATTGGGTGTCCTCAGCGTAGCAGTGGTATGAAAAACCATGCGGGCTAATAATAATAATAATAATAATAATAATGGGTTCCATTTATAAAGCACTTCATATTTGATTTCAAATCCCGAAGTGCTACAAGCAGTGAGCATGAACAGTATAAATAGACATTACACAACACGGTAGAATTAATAAAAAGCAATACAAAAATAAATAAAAGGTCTAGGCAAAGGCTCTTTTGAAGAGATGGGTTTTGAGGCCTTTTTTAAAAGCCTCCACAGTCTGTGGTGCTCTCATGTGGTCGGGGAGAGCGTTCCACAGACTGGGAGCAGCCGAGCAGAAGGCCCGGTCTCCCATGGTACGGAGCTTAGTCCTGGGGGGTTTGACTGGTCCGAGCGAGTTTGTGTACAAGGAGAAGAGGAGGGGACCAAGAACAGAGCCCTGAGGGACCCCTGTAGTTAATTGACAAGGGTCGGACTCGGACCCTCTCCAAGTTACCCTGTAGGTGCGGTCTTTGAGGTATGAGGTGAGGAGGGAAAGTGCAGAGCCTGACACTCCAAGTTCTTGGAGAGTGCGAAGGAGGATCTGATGATTCACCGTGTCGAATGCAGCAGACAGGTCCAACAGGATGATGACAGAGGAGAGGGAGGCTGCTTTAGCCGTGTGCAGTTCCTCAGAGACAGGAGGGCAGTTTCTGTGGAGTGACCTGCCTTGAAACCAGACTGGATCCAGAAGGTTGTTCTGATGGAGATAACAGGAGAGTTGTTTAAAGACAGGAACGGGAGGAGAGAGACAGGCCTGTAGTTTATAACATCAGACGGGTTGAGAGTGGGTTTCTTTAGGAGAGGGGTTTTTGTGTGTGATGTGTTTGATTGACAGGTGTATACTGTAGTGTGTGTGTGTGAGATGTTGTGTTTGATTGACAGGTGTATACTGTAGTGTGTGTGTGTGAGACGTTGTGTTTGATTGACAGGTGTATACTGTAGTGTGTGTGGGACGTTGTAATTGATTGACAGGTGTATACTGTAGTGTGTGACGTTGTGTTTGATTGACAGGTGTATACTGTAGTGTGTGTGGGACGTTGTAATTGATTGACAGGTGTATACTGTAGTGTGTGACGTGTTTGATTGACAAGTGTATACTGTAGTGTGTGTGGGACGTTGTAATTGATTGACAGGTGTATACTGTAGTGTGTGACGTTGTGTTTGATTGACAGGTGTATACTGTAGTGCAGGGGTACTCAAATACAAATCTTAAAGGTCAAAAAAAAATGTTCAATAAGACAAAGGTCCGTTTATTACGGTCATTCAAACTTTTAAACAATTGCAACAAGATTCTTAACACGAGGTTGCAAAAACAAAAAGTCTCTGTCTGCAGCAGTTTCCATTGTTCTTGTGTCTGTGCTTGATCTCTCAGAGTCGCAGTGTAAGAGCTGCACAGTTATGAGTAAAGGCAGCTGCACCCTCTTTCATTCAGCATTCCCATTATTGCTTTATAAATGTCTCGCCCCCTTGTGTGTCCACTGAGGTTCGTCAGGCCCAACACATCTTCAACAAACTCCCCCTTTGCCTCATCATCAAAACTCACAAACACCAGCAACTGAGCATTGTCAGTGGTGTCAGTGGACTCATCCACAGCTAAGGAAATGCACTGTGCATTTTGTATTCCATCACAAAGCTGATTCATCCAATCACCAGCCAGTATTTCTGTTCTTCTGGTTGCTGTGGAATCTGAGAGGGGGCTTTGCTTGATTTGACCTGTTATTTCCTCTTTTTGTTTGCCTTCAAACATGGTCTCCATCACTTCAGTCTTCTTTTATACTTCAGTTATTATCCAGTGGAGAGTCCTTACCTGCTGGCCTAGTTACATCAAAGTGGTTCCTTTCTGTTGTCTGGGCAGTGTAGTTTTACACACCGTCTGATTTGACTTTCTCAGGACTTCAAACTGTTTTTTGGGGGCAGACCCCCACAAAGACAAAATATATTTACACGCGTAAGGTCATCATCTTAACAGTGTGTATGGTCATCCGTGAGCAGAGCATCAAGTTGTCTATTACAGCTGAATGCAGCGATCACCATCTTGTTCAGCAAAACGCCTCACACTGATTAAGATCTAAAGCTTTAGTGCGTTTTGATTCAATGCTGAGTCCAGACACACTGACAGGCTCTTCTCTGTCATTGGAGACCGCACCTCATTCCTTCAGTACTTGGGTCCGAATGCTTCTCGTTTTGCGCCGTCCCGTTCAAATGAAATCTCCACCAATCATATTTCCACGCTCGCGCCGGAGGAGGGGTTACAAGACGTGCGTCTTGTGCTGCATTCACTTGCACTCGGACATTTGAGACTTTCTCTCATAAATGTCCGATGAGCCACAACTTTTCTTTCAAAACAAAGCTGTCAGCTGGGGTGGCAGCTGGGGTGGCAAGGCCTATTTTTAGGGTGGCAGTTGCCTCTCCATGCCACCCCGGTAGGTGAAACTAGGCTACTAGCTACAGTACAGATGCAACTAGATGAGCTGTTAACTCTCGCTCTGACTCAGACAGGTTGAAAGAGACGACACACGCATTTTTCCCACCCGCATTCCGTGAAGACCCGCCCTACTGTGCCTCTGATTCGCAGACTGTTGGTGGGGGGGGGGGAAACGCTGACGGGATGCTGAATGTGATTGGACCAAAGCGTTGACAGACACACACAGACAGTGGAACAGTCTGACATGCAGAGCGCTGTATGCAGCGGACATAGCGGAGAATTTTGACTCGTTGCGTTGTGGAGATGTCTCGCAGATAACACGGATAACACGGATAACACGGATAATACATATGAAAAGTATAATTTGCTCAGAGTCCAGAGACAGTTGTGGTTCGGTCCGGATCCGGACCGGAGTCCGGACTTTGAGGATGCCTGCTGTTGTGTGTGTGTGTGACGTTGTGTTTGATTGACAGGTGTATACTGTAGTGTGTGTGTATGTGTGATGTTGTGTTTGATTGACGGGTGTATACTGTAGTGTGTGACGTGTTTGATTGACAGGTGTATACTGTGGTGTTTGACATTGTGTTTGATTGACAGGTATATACTGTAGTGTGTGACGTTGTGTTTGACAGGTGTATACTGTAGTGTGTGTGTGACGTTGTGTTTGACAAGTGTATACTGTAGTGTGTGTGATGTTGTGTTTGACAGGTGTATACTGTAGTGTGTGTGACGTTGTGTTTGATTGACAGGTGTATACTGTAGTGTGTGACGTTGTGTTTGATTGACAGATGTATACTGTAGTGTGTGTGAAGTTGTGTTTGATTGACAGGTGTATACTGTGGTGTGTGACGTGTTTGATTGACAGGTGTATACTGTGGTGTGTGACGTGTTTGATTGACAGGTGTATACTGTGGTGTTTGACGTTGTGTTTGATTGACAGGTGTATACTGTAGTGTGTGACGTGTTTGATTGACAGGTGTATACTGTGGTGTGTGACGTGTTTGATTGACAGGTGTATACTGTGGTGTTTGACGTTGTGTTTGATTGACAGGTGTATACTGTGGTGTTTGACGTTG